AGCTTAACAATGCAAAGTGGCATTCTACAAAATACTCCCTACAAAAAATATAATTACTAGGATGGGAGGTTCATTCATATCCTCTATACTCAGCAGAGTTAGCATCAACAGATTTTCATTTGTTTTTATCATTAGAATATTTTGTAAGTGGCAAATCAGTCTTTCAAACATTTTTTCAGAGGGGAAAGAACATGGATTTTTTAAAACTTAAAATTTTCTTACCCATTGAGTTGCTGTCATCTATATAATAAATGCGAATGTCAGTGTGTCAGTGTGTCACACATTTCAACTTTACTCCCAGAGGCCATAGCCCAACATATCATACCATTTTAGTATCAGGCCGATTCCATGAGCAAATTAAAATCATTCTGGGCCAGATCCGGACTCGCAATCCTGAAATTTTGGATTCCTAAGTTTTCATTACTGCAATTGTTTTCGGTGATTTTTTTATGGGATTTTTTGCAACAAATTTTTTTGTATAGCAATTTTTATAACTTAGAAATAAATTTGGGAATACTCAAAATTAATTGCAAAATCCAGCAAAAGTCTTCCATGAAATAAAAATAATTGTTTGTATAGAAAGTAAGGACCTACAAGGATCAAACTGCCTTTAAAATAAGTGGCAGCCAAAGAATTATCATTGAACTTTTAAAAGGTAAGCTTAAATATTAATATGATACTTAAATGCAGTGATCAATTTTAAGTTCTTCTGTAGTTTATTGTTGCCTATTGCATCTCTCCCTCTCTACCTATTGTGATGAAGGACCAATCAAGAGCTCTCTGCATGAGCTAGCTTAAATGCCACCTGAAAGGACAGCTTTTAAGCTAGTTGAAAATAATGGTGATTATATTTTGATAAATAATATTTAAATAAATTTCACTTATATTTGGTGTCATATCCTTTCTGGCCAAATATAATTTTTTTCTAAACACTGTCATTGTTTTTTTAATCATTTCACTCCAAGCAAGGCAATAAAGCCAATAAGACACAAGGAGTTACTGAGTGTGAAAGAAAAAGAAAACATTATTAAGGAAAGATAACAATAAAAGAAAAGGAATTAAGGTAGAAGATAATGATCAAAGTTGATCAAACCTGACTGGAAAACAAGAAGCTGGAAGAGAGTTCTACAAGCAAGAAGTGTGAAAGAAGCAACTGTTAGCATAGAATTTATGGTTACATCTAACCATCTCAACTGTAAAATGATGAGACCTTCCTGCCAATCTTAAATTCATAAAGTTTAAGTACCAAAGAGGAAAACTCATCAGAACAATTAGTATGAAAATTTTTTATAGAAAAGGCAGAGGGAAGTTGTATTGCAACAGTGAGAATGTGATTGAAGGTTGGTTGGGTTTTATGGCATATCAACCACTGTGGGTCATTTAATGCCAAATTAATTTATATATATATATATATATATATATATATACACACACATATATATATATATATATATATATATATATATATATATATATACACACACACATACATACATACACATATTGTTATATACATATATTAAATATAAAGTGCTATTAAATATAAAGCTGGCAACATTATTTTTTACCAAAAACATATATGGCAACATATTTTAAAACCAAAAAACGTATAGCTGGCAACATTATTTTTACCAAAAAACGTATAGCTGGCAACATTATTGTTTCAAAAACACATAGCTGGCAACATTATTTTTTCCAAAAAACGTATAGCTGGCAACATTATTGTTTCAAAAACGCATACCTGGCAACATTATTGTTTCAAAAACATATAGCTGGCAACATTATTTTTCCGAAAACATTATCTGAAGCCTTGTTGTTGGACGTAATTTATCGTCATACCCAGGACGTGGATGTAGTTTATCGTCATACCCAGGACTTAAAACGTATAGCTGGCAACATTATTTTTCCAAAAAACGTATAGCTGGCAACATTATTTTTTCAAAAACATATAGCTGGCAACATTATTTTTTCAAAAACATATAGCTGGCAACATTGTTGTTTCAAAAACGCATAGCTGGCAAATTATTTTTTCCAAAAAACGTATAGCTGGCAAGAATGTGATTGAAGCCAGGTTAGGACCAATAACATTGCAGATTCTTTGGCAATGATTAGATGCAAAAAAAACAGTGTGTCAAAAGGAGTTATTCCCTTGATACCACTATTACTGTATACACTTTTGACTCCATCGTCAATGTCATTATTTAGATTATAAAAATATGAGAACCAAGTACAATGTGATATTTATTATTTACCATTTTATAAAGAAATCTTTTTATTCAAAATTTTATTAAAAAATTATCAAGATATGTAAGAGGAAGAAATGCTCTCAACCTATTTTAGTGAATTTATGTGGTGAGAGAAAATGAAAGAAATACCCAGAAAATGCAATTTTGAAAAATTTGTAATTACTGTTACTCATCATTAAGCATTTATTTAAATTTTTTTTCAGACATTTTTGTAAATTATGAATAAAAATATTTCTTTTCATAAAATTCTTTTCTTTATAAAATGTTAAATAATAAATATTTCATTATAGTTCACATATTTTTATAATCTTGTAAATATAAAATTTATTCTTGTAAATAAGCAATCTAATAAATAAATAGTGTTTAACATCTTTGTTGCCATTTCTCAAGAATAAAGACAGCCTATAAATACACTTTCAGATGTTTCAGTTTTATTAAAATTCTAATCATCACTTTTTAAAACATTTTAGTGGGAGTCAATAGTCACTAATATCAGAATCAAGGGAATAACTGTCCAGTTTGACATACCCTTTTTTCACAGGCATGAAGGTGAAAACATTGCTGGTTCTTTGGATTTTATCAAGTATCCCTAAATGCTAAATATTTGGGAAATGGGCTGCGAAAGAATGGATACATACACTGGAATCATTTCTGCAAATAAAGCAGCAACACAATACATATTTTTGTATGCGTAAACATTAAAATAGTATTTACACTATTTACATTGTTCAGACTGTTGTCCTCATCTTTATTGACGTATTCACAACAATTGGCAAAAGAAGGTTGGAGTGTACAACAGCCGAAACATCAAGTATATGACAATAAAGATGAGGACAACAGTCAAAAAAATGTAAATAGTGTAAATAGTTACAATACCTCATTTCAGAGATATAGACAGATATTAAAATAGTAACATTAATAGTAATAATCAGGACCAGTGTATGATGCACTCCCCATTATTTATGATATGGGGCCCACCACTCTAATAAATTTTAATAGCTTGGATATCAGTGCAAGAAATTTATGTGGGACCAAGAAATTTGTAATCACCCAAGCGATGGTCCAATAAACTTGTAATAGACTAAATTTTTGTCCAATAAATGTGTTATAGCCTATATACTGGTCCAATAAACTTGTAATAGGCCAAGTGTTTGTCCAATAAATGTGTTATAGACTATATACCGGTTCAGTAAACTTGTAAAAGGCTAAGTTTTTGTCCAATAAATGTGTTATAGCCTATATACTTGTCCAATAAATTTCCAATAGGCTAAGTGTTTGTCTAATAAATGTATTATAACTTATATACAGGTTCAATAAACTTATATGCTAATTATTTGTCCAATAAATGTGTTATAGCCTACATACTAGTCCAATAAATTTGTAAAAGGCTAAGTGTTTGTCCAATGAATGTGTTATAGTCTATATATTTTATTACTATACTAGGCTTTTTCAAACAATTGTTAGGTGGTGCAGTTTAAGTCTATAAAAGACAAATATTTCCTTTGTCTTACTCTTTCTCCAAGATGTAGCACAACGTGATTAAAAGGATGTTCCTGCTGGGTTACATTTGTTTTCCCATGCCATTAAAAACTGAACTCTCTTCCCACTTTCCAATGCATGGTGTTCATATATGTCTTCCAAAACCTTCACCTACAAAGTAAATCAACATTTTCTTTGGTCGTTCCAACTCAGCACAAAGCTGTCTTGAGCCTGACCATTATAACTATGCCAACTCTACAACGATGAACTAAGTATAAACTTTACTTTGGTCATTCCAACTCTGTACAAAGCTGACTTGGACTCGACCATTATAACGATTCTTATCTTTACTTTCTATGAATTTCTGGATCAGAAAAAGAACACATAAACTGAGAACTTTATTTCACTACAGTTTATATAAAAAAAAAAAAAAAAAGAGTAAATGGTCTGTAGTAGAAATACAATTTTTTGTACAGTGTAACCCAGATATAAGAGAGTTGTCGGGACCGGAGAAGAATTCTCTTATATCCGGGTTTCTCTTATATCCGGGTTTGGTCTATTTTATATACATTAACACAGGCTCTAATTTGGGACCAGAGAAAATCTCTCTTATATCCGGGTCTCTTATATCCAGGTTAGACTGTACTTCTTGTTTACATGTGAACATGCCCACACCTAAAATATGCTCAAATACACAACCTTTAAATACCAAAGTCACTCTCCTGGAGGTTAGCATCAGACATGCTAATGGAAGGCAAAAAAAAAAGAAAAGTTTTCTAAGAAAATTAAAAGAGAGTATTAAGTTTTGGAGGCATTAAAATTAACAAGCCATTTGTTAAATGGGGGCAAAAATCTATATTATCAAATACAGTAATCACATGTCACAATAAACTAATTAAGAGTACACAAGGCATTGCCTCAGAGCTGTATAATTTGATCCTGAGTGCTCCACTTTGCCTTGTGCCAAACTTATTTTTACTGTTTTTTTGTTTTGTTTTTTTTTATTTTAAAAGTAGTTTCGAATTTTTGCTTTGCTATAATTTTTTTTTTTTTGCTGTTTTTTTTATTTGAAACACCACTTTTTTAGGTAATTTAAGATGACAGTGGGCACGAGAAGAGACGTGAGGAATATAATGACCTCATTTCTTTTGCGAACACGTATCATGAGCGTTTTAGTTTCAGATGGTTTTTTGCTTATTGCTGTTCAACCCTAAAGCTGATTTCCAGTTTCGTAATTTCTAAACTTAGAACTATTTTTACTCATTGTACCTTGAGAAAGTCAAATACGAGGTAAGTAAATGGGGCAACGCATAAAACATTGCGCAATATTTTGCAACCTGTTTTTTTTATTATTATTTCATCATAGATAAATATAGTTTGTTTTGTACGAGTTTGTTTTCCTTCGTAGTTTAAGATAGTAAAACTTGGCTCTACCTAGTAAAAATGATAACAAGTAAAAGTTGTTTAATTATCAGTTAACTTTGTTTTTTGTAACATAACAGATAAAAACATTTTAAAACTTTTTTTTACAGAAAAACTAGAAAGGATTTTTTAAATGCGTGAAACATAAAATTGATTTGTAATTTTCTTAAATATAAATAAATCCGTTTAACAGATATTTTAAAATAAAACTACTTGTTACAATTAGAATTTGAAAAAAAAAACTTTTATTGCTGCATTCCTTTTAGTTTTAGAGAATGAAAGTAACAAAAAAAATATTTATCTTTAAAAAAGTTTTAAATTAAAACTGAGGCTTATCGTTAAAGAAAGACTAATTGATTTTAAATGAGCATTAATAATTCTTGTAATTATTGAAATTATATTCCAGTTTTCAAAGTTTTTTTTAAAAAATTGTTTAAAAATGGTGCATATCGAAAATTTGTCAGCATCCTTGCACACGAAGGAGAAATTATTAACTAATCTTATTTTATGTAGAAAGAATTAAAAAAAAAATAGTTTATGACATTTAAAAAAGTATTTGTCAAAAGTAGGAAGCATTTTTTAAAAATTCAAATTCTAAGAATTAAACACAAATCAACTAAAGCGGGAGAAGAATTACTTCCTGTTTTGAAATGGCTTTTATTTAGTTTCGTATTTTATTTCAATAAAAACAAAGAATTAATTATACCAATATAAATATATCTTAATGAAATTGAACAATCTTGGTATAGATTTTGCATACATGCAATATTTAAATAAACAATGGTATAAAATAAAACTTAATTACGCTTAATTTTTAATAATAATTTTTAGTTATAATTGGTGCGAAACTACAACCGGAAGTATTGCTAAGTTCTTCCCTGATTTCTTGACTGTGAACCCCAAAGCTTCCTTTCCCGCAACACCTCTGAGAGAAGCACCATGCCTGTAAGTTGGCTCCTGTTTTCTTCATATTTTCCGTATTTATACTGCTGTATTCGACTTTAGTATTTTTACAACTTAATTGTTTAGTCTCTAAACTATTTGTCTGTAGAATTTGACAAAGATATTCATATCGGTTTTTTAGTTACAGCCAAAAATGTATCCTAGTTCATACGAACACTGCTTGGCATATATCAACCATGTGTATGCTGTATTTTTTTCTTAGTTTATATATTCTATGTTCGTTCATTTTTTTCCTTTTTTTTTTTTTTTTTTTTAAATCCGTGGTATAATTGTACAATTTAATTTTCTTTTTTTCTAATGTTGAATTTCGCTTTAAATTGGATATATATATATATATATATATATATATATATATATCTCGATAAATTGCGTGGATCTAATATTATTATTATTTAAGCATGTTTCCCAACATGGCGGTCCTAAGAACTTGTTCAAATTAGAATACGTATCAGCAACGTTTTTCTTTTCTTGCCATCAACACTTAGACCAGTGTTCAATTTTTATTAATATTTTCCTCATCTTGCCAAATGTATAAATTAAACTCTGTCAACTTTATTTTGTGATAAATTTTGATTCATGCCTTCGTGTTCAGTAAAGTAAAAGTTTAGGATGTTGATTACCATTACCCGATCTTAGTTATATCGTTGACTCATAAAAAAAAAAAAAAAATTTCTTCTTTTAAACATTTTAAGGATAGGGGTGGGGGCTTCTTTTCATCATGGTATGCCTTTTGTTTTTCAGCGAATTATTGCAGGTACCTAAATTGACTTCATGCGCTCGCTTAGAGTTTTGATTTAAAGGGAAAAATCCCCCCCCCCATTTTATTTCCATGTATATTTTTGACGATATTAAAGTTTAAAAACATAGCTGCAGACAAAATATATTACGTTTGAAAGACTCGCTATTGAATTGTAACTGATTCACATGGTCCTTGATGCTTCCCACGTGGTGTCGAATAGGTTGTCCTACTCCAAAAGTTTGTTCCTCTTCTAAAATCTAAGCTCAATAAACCCAAAAATTAATGTTGGAGGGGGAGAAATTGTTTAAAACGCTAATCTAAAAAAAAGTCTAATATTGAGCAAAATAGATATACAAAATCAGAAGTCAAAACCATCGCACCAATGAACTGATCCACTCGTTAACTATAAAAACTGCACCAAATTTAGACAGGACATGTCCCGATTGAAAGATTTTGAAGGGATTCTTGTTCATAATTTTTTTTTTTTTACTAGTCGACCAACCTATTTAAAGTTGTAGACCTAGTTAAATTTGATGAAAAAACTTGTTAATCATGAAATTATTTGTTGCTTTTCAGCTTGCAAAAGATTTATTGCATCCTTCTTTGGAAGAAGAGAAAAGAAAATGTAAACTGAAAAGACTTGTGCAGTCTCCAAATAGCTATTTCATGGATGTCAAATGCCCTGGTGAGTTTGCTTTTTTTTTCTTTTTTTTTTTTTTTAGCCTTTGGGGAAGTGTTTTAGAAGCATTTAATCATTAAAATTTTAATGGTTTATATGCAGTAGAAGCACCAAAAGGCTCCCGCTAATGAGAATGTAACCATTCTGTTGTGAAACTGCCTGATTATTTCGAAAATGACATTAAAACTTTGCGCTCGATTGCCGTTTTAAGATTTATCGTCAATGTAAGTTCAATCTCTTTCGCGTTGTCCGGTCGCCATTACTAGCGTTGTTTGCATAAAAGAACACCTTACGTAAATTTTATTTTATTTTTCATTTTTACTAATGTTTGGAATCGTGACGCTTTTTCTGTTGGGATACTTTTAAAATTTCGTGCATGATTATTTGAGGCAAACGTTTGTAAACAAAGGCAGTAATGGTGGTCGTTCTGTATGCGCGACGAGAAGTCGAACTTACATTGTTCATGACTTCTAAACGGTAATCGAGAGCAAAGTTTTAATGTCATTCCCAAATAATCGGGCAATTTCACACCAGTAACTGATTTAATTTCGATTTGCTATGATGACTCTATTCTTTCCCCGTCTGATCGATAGATGCAGACGAAAGTGAAAGATACAAGCCAAACCAAATCTGAGCAAAATCTGTTTCCCAAAAATAAGTATTTAAAATGAAATCAGTTTTGCAACACTACATTTTTTGTATTTTTTTTTTAAGTCACTTTAAATATTTTAGTCCGAATGATAGAATGAAAATCATGTAAACAAATGTACATATTCTCATTTAATAGAATGTTAAACAAGTGAATGTCTTTTTAATGGAGTTTTTTTTTTTTTTTTTTCTCCTCTTCCATAAGCAATGATTTAATATTCAAATCTTGTTAAAATTGACCATTGCCCTAGCTTGCAGTCACATTTTCAGAGCTTAACAGCAAATCATCTCAGATCTCTACACCCCGGGATGATTTGCTGTTCTAAGTTGTAGTCAAAGAATAAAGATAGACTTCACATTGTGTGGAGGTGAGTATCAATTTAAAATATTTATTCATAGCTAATTAGAAACCCACTCAATTAAAAAAAAAAAAAAAAAAAAAAAAATTGGATTTTAGAGTAAGATCTCTTGTACAACTCTTCTTTCTGTGTGCACATTAAAAAACAATCTTAGAAATTGTTTGCTATGATGACTCTATTCTTTCCCCGTCTGATCGATAGATGCAGACAAAACTGAAAGATACTAGCCAAACCAAACCTGAGCAAACCAATCTAAGTAGTGTCCAAAATTAGTATATTTTTCAGATATCTTTAAAAATCTATTTTGCCGACCAATTGCTATTAAAATATTAGTGGCAAATGCATTTAAAATTTGGCATTTGTCAATTTAGAAAAGTCCAAAGCGCCTTTTTTTTTTTCTTTTAGGCAAAACAAATTTATGAATGAGAAATAAGATCTAAATTTCATGTGACTCTAAATTGTGCATATAAAATACAGAATTCTGTTTGCTGTGATGATTGAATTCTTTCCCCGTCTGATCGATAGATGCAGACGAAATTGAAAGATAAGCCAAACCAAACCTGAGCAAACAAACAAAAAGTGGCTTTTTTTTTTTTTTTTCTTCACATGAAGAGCACAAATTTGCATGTCACAGCTATACAATGTTTGGCATAAATACCTCCCACATAATGGTCAGGCTCTAAGTTGAATCTGCCTGTTTTGATATTGTAAAGTAGAAAAAATCTATTGAAAACAATTATAGCATCAAGAGACTTTTATGGGGAATACTTACGTTAAATCTGTATGTCCTTATTTTTTTAAAAATGTACCTTCCTGCGTTATTTATTAACGGCTGTCTGGCAGTGATAACTTAATTCATATTGGCAACTCTAAATAGAATCAAGTTCTTAACCAAAACCTAGAGTGGTACAGTACACTTTACAGAGAATTATATTCTTATGAGTTCTCAGAGAAACTGAAAATATCAAAATTATTTAAATTTTTGTCTTCTCTCTCCCCCAGAAAGGCATCCATATTGGTTTCTCCTTTGAGCTAGGATTTTTCTGTGACTTTGAGATTTTTTTTTTTTATCTACCTTGGTACACAACTGTTTCTTTTTCCCTAATTTACTAATGTGAAAATTGGAGATACTTATGTTTAAGGCAATAATTGGAAAATATCCCCCAGCATGGCCAAAATTGTTTGCTGTGATGACTTTATTCTTTCCCCGTCTGATCGATAGATGCAGACAAAATTGAAAGATGCAAGCCAAGCCAAACCTGAGCAAACTTCTTTTTTTTTTTTTTTTCCTAATGTGTTTAATGTAGGTACCTCTGCTAATTGTTATAAATTTCTGATTATGGATTGGAATGTCAATTATTTGCTTACTTACACAAAATCCATTACAAGTGTCAGTTTCGACATTTTAGGATATTTGTAGACAAAATCTAATTAGTGGGTTTTAAGTCTTCCCAAAATAGTATGTTTGTGACACATTAAATTAGCAATTTTAATCTGATGTGAAAGGAATACTACTTATAGCATGAAAAAAGATGTATACAAGCATTTCTTAACCATGGGTCCTGCTTTTTCTGGGGTGTTGGCAGTTATGTATGGGTGAACAGAATTTTCATAAATTTGCAAAATCTATCTTAATTTTTACAAATTGACATTTGACAGCAATTATCTAATTTTATTGACTTAGTTACCAGTTACATTTGAGGATGCTTCCAAAAAAAAAAAAAAATTGCTCAAGTGTATGATATGCACTAAGATATATTAAATAAATATTTAAGGAAATATAAATTTTTAAAAAGTAAATGTGACCTGAAAAGATTTGCAGACAAGCGAATTTCTCAGTAAGACAACTCTTATCACACCATGACCTTTTAAATAAGACTTCCATACATAGAAAAATGAAAACATTTAAACTCATAAAAAAAGTGTATGCAAAACAACTTTATAGCAAGCTTTGCAATTTTTGATTCGTAAATAGTTTCCATTTAATGACAATAGCACCTAAAAGAAAGGAAGTAATGCAAAATTTTGAAATCAGTTTTTCACTGGGAAAAGCCACAAAAATGCTAAGTGTTGATATTACATCAAAAAATGAGGTGGGGGGGGGAATTAACCCAACTATGAATGTGCTAGAAAGGATTTAAAAATACTTTGGTCTTTCTCTTAAACATTTTGATGGTAAAAACTTAAGTTTGGGGCCCAGTTTTGCTGAACCAGTGGAGGTACCTAATTTAATGACCCACTCGTTTTTAGTTGGAAAATTTTCTAAAGGAAACTTATTTAAAAATCTTTTTGTTGATGTATTATGCTGATAGAAGCACATTATAAATTTTACTTTTGTGTAAATATTTCTGACGTTTTATAAAATACAAGCCTTTTGTTTGCTATGATGACTGAATTCTTTCCCCGTCTGATCGATAGATGCAGACAAATTTGAAAGATACAAGCCAAACCAAACCTGAGCAAATGATTGGTAAAATAATTCTCTAATTTGTGGAAACTTCATCTGATTTACCTCCCTTGCCTTGATGATATATTTACTTTGTCAATTGTAATAAGTTAATGTTGTGATCAAACTTTCTAATCATTTACATGGGTGTGGCAAAATATTCAAAATTCTAGCTCATTGATATTGAAGTGCATTATCTTGTTTGTGGCAAATGCATTGAACCCAGTTGCTGATTTTTTTGGGGGGGGGTTATTGGATATCAAATAAGAGAAATGTTTTTAATGGCAAATGCTTTCATAATCCTGATTTTTTTTTTTTTTTTTCCTTCATTAACTGTTTTGGTCTTTTCAGGTTGTTACAAAATTACAACAGTGTTTAGTCATGCTCAGACTGTGGTTTTGTGTGTAGGATGTTCAACAGTTCTGTGCCAGCCAACAGGTGGAAAAGCACGACTAACAGAGGGTGAGTACCTTTTATTGGGTCTTTCCTACTGCTGCTTTTTTTTTTTTTTTTGCTATGATGACTCAGTTCTTTCCCCATCTGATCGAAAGATGCAGACAACTAACAAGATACAAGCCAAAATCAAATCTGAGCAAAAAAAAAAATGACCGACACCAACTACTGCATTATTTACTTTGTTGCAGCAGTTTTTTTAATAAATGCAAATGTTAATTCTGGATATTTCCATTGCAGGTTGTTCATTCCGAAGAAAACAGCACTGATTGATGTAAATTGATATCACATGTACCAAGATACATCCTTCACAAGGCATTATTAAAAAAAAAAAAAAAAATGTAATAAAGGTGTGGACTTGGAGATTAAAGTGTTTTCCTTTTCTTTCTTTTTCCCTTAAAGATTCTGACAAATGAATTGTTTGGTATCCATTATGACTGACAACTTATTTGTTTTTGATGACTGACACTATATAATAGGCAAACCAGGCTCAAATGCAGCTTGTTTAGTATAATACTTCTGTTTTCTCAATTTTCTCTCTCAGCTTCATATGAATTAAAAATCAAAACTAGCTAAATGGATTCACAGCCCCATTAAAATCCACACATACAACCTCCATATCAAACCAGACAATAAATAGAGTGATTAAAAAAGAGAGGTGCAATTTTTTTTTTTTTTAACACTTTGCAGAGCAAGAGCTTTTAAGACAGTATGGAAGTACAATGCACCTTCCTAAATTGAAGAAGCAAGAAAGAATTAACAAAAGACACTTCTTGATTATAGAAAAGTTTATTTCTTAATTGCTACCAGTTGAACCAAAACCACCAGATCCTCTATCTGTTTCTTCAAGATCCTGCAAGAGAAAACATTATCTTAAAAAAAAAAAACACAGCAAGGAGAACTGCATTCTTAAAAAAAAAAAAAAAAAAACACAGCAAGGAGAACTTACCACTTTTGATTCTTCAAGTTCTGGCAAGAAAATTCGCTCCAAAACCAACTGTGCAATTCTATCTCCTTTCTTCACTGTAAGGAAATAAATTATCACCTTAGGTTGTTTATGATAGGTTACTTAAATGCATGCACCCTCAAGAGAACAAACATTAACCATACAGTATCATAGCAAAATTAAAATATTTGTGCACAAAGACTTCCAAACTAAAAATTCAACTCACCAACAAATTCTTCTTTAGCAAAATTAAACAGAACCACACCAACATTCCCCCTGTAATCTTGATCAATGACGCCAGCTGTTAAGAAACAAGACAAACATTACATGAAAAGGAGATATAAAACAACTGTTTTAAATATAGGTACCTCCACTTGGGGGAGGGGGGGTTAAGACACAGCATGGCATAATGAAAAGGCCACAAATATCAATGTTTTAAAGATGAAAGACCAAAGTATTTTCTGAAGTTTTAGATCCTTTCTAGTACTCATAATTCCAGATCATTTAATTAAATTTAAAAAAAAAAAAAAGTTTATAGTACTTTTTCATTTCATCTTCAAACATAACTAAAAGTAGTTAAAAACTGAAGAAAAAAAAAAAACCCATGCTTTCATGATTCTGATCATCAATACTACCTGTTATCACCACAGAATTTGTCTATATGTCAAAGAAGACCAGAATCCATTGTTAAATGCTTGTATATTACTTTATGCTATAAAAATTTCAAATCAAATTAGTCTTAACTTAAAATTTGCTAATTCTACTGCTATGATGTTTCATAAATATATATTTAATTTTGGAAGATTTTCATAGCTGATAATTTTTTGTTTACAAATTTCTTTGAAGAAATGGCCACTTAAGAATTTTATTAACTAGAAATAAATTTAATCATTAAGTTTTCAATTAAAGCAAAAATGAACAGTGGAGGTATTTTCAAATAAAACCCATTCCTAAGGATATAGTGCACATGTATCATGTATTGCTGGAGTTGAAGAGAGTACCAAACTCAGAAACATCTAAGAATGAACAGTATTTGTTCTACAGAAAAAAAGTAGCAAAAGTAAGTTTTATTACATAGACAAATATACATTTGCTCACTAGGTAGTATAAAAAAAAAAAAAACCAAAAAAACTCACAACTGGTGAGCGACAATTTTATTTATTATGATTATAAATTTTAATTCTCTTAGTCTCGTGACCACCTGCAGTCACTGTGTCCTAATGAAGTAGGGGGGGTTACTACCAGAGAATCAATAGCATCAGTCAGTAACATTTGCAGAGCTACCATTCTTCTTACAGCAGGAAGGCTGCTTAAACTTAATATAAAGGATCTTGAATTCTCAGATGGTAATTCAAATGCATTCTGATTGTGATGAAAAGGAATTTCTTGTGGAAGACTGGATACAAGTGAGATTTATTTAAGTGCTAAGAAATAAACATGTACAAAGTGTCAATTTTATATAAATATTATTCCTACTCTTAGTTTTTCATTTCACTTTTAAATCATAAGCATTTCACTCATGTTATCCTAGACAGAATTCTGTACATCCAAAATAGCTTAATTTACAATTCAAATATTACCTGCTCAGTCTATAAGCTTCTGATACTACCTCATGGGATGTACATGTACACATTTTTATTGCATACGTGCCCACATGCATCAAGTACAAATTTGGAATTTTTAATTTATTAAAAATTGACAAAACTGACCACTGCAAGTGTGATTTCCTCCATAATTAAGGAAATTAAAAATATTAACTTACCGCCAACATCAATGAATTTCTTTACTGCTAAGCCAGAACGAGGAGCTGGGAGAAACAAATAAAAATAAAAAATTTAGGTGAACAAGTAACAAGTTTGCAATTCAAACTAATTTTGATTTAAACATTTGTGGGTAGGTGGTGAAATTGTCTGGAGTCCTATTTCCATTGAACCAAGAGTGCTGGCATTTATTAAGTTGCTAAAAATCAATAGTTGTAGGAGGTGAACAGATTTTAAACTTGGGTTCATTTCAGCAAAGAAATTGTCTGGGAATAGAGACATTGCAGAAATTTGGCATCTTTGCCATTAGATGCAATAAGAAATTATTGCTTTGGGAAATTTATTTTTAGGGTAAGCAATAAGCTCCCAAACCCCCACACATCACATTAAATAAGGGCATAAAAGAATTCAACCAATAATTGTTTACTGTAATTTTAATCAGCTTTATAGCCTCACCAGATCAAAATTTCCATATGGATATCACATGCCACCAAACCTCTCCAGAAATATTTAAACCATACACTGCTTTTTCACTTGAGGACTACCAATAGCAGCAACAACGAAAATGGATACCATATAACTAAGTAGAGATTAACATTCCATACCCTGGATTTGTGACTTTTATTACGTATTTAAATGATTTAAAAATTTAAACTTGTCAAAAGCAAAGTCAGATCAAGTAATGCCAAACCTTTTCAAAAAAAAAAAAAAAAAAAAAAAGGTAAGATTTGGATGAATTAACTCTGGACTGGTGATGCTTTTTGTGTTCATAAAAAAAAAAAAAAAAAAAAAAATAATCATGGAGTTTGGATATGACTATTTTCCTTTTATTATAAAACCAACATTAATTAGAAAAGCTTTTAATTGCTATTATAAAAAAAAGTTATATCAACGACACTAGTCTGAAGAAATAAAATTTTAGATGAATAATGAATTTTTACTAGAATTTTTTTTTTTATAATATAACCCAAAAAGCGTTTAAAATTCTTCATTGCTTTCAAGAATGCAATTTGCGATATTGTTAAGGGAAAAGTAAATTAAGGAATCAAAGTTTGAAAAGCTCACAAGTCATTTGTACTGATATTTCTAAAATAATTTTTGATGGGGGGGGGGTCATAATTTCTACCTATGGAAATCTAAACAACAAACCTTAAAAAGGTCATGATTTAAATGCGACACTGCAATTATTTCACTTTAAATTCAGTTCCATTTCATCATTAATGTTATGGCAAATCATCCCTTCAAAAGTCTTTACTGTATTTTAGTCTGGGTCATACTTCAATAATTTTTTGGTTCAAAAAGGTAAATTTAACCTAGAGACGAAATGCAAATGTCAGAAAGCTTCTTAAAAGCCTTAAGTAAAAGTCAATAAAATATTAAATAATTGCTGAAAATGTTAAAGCGTTCAATTAAATTTCATAAATGTCATTTCTGGTCATCCATAAGAGCTGTACACACCTTGCGAGCTTCTTGATAAATCAAAAGATAAAAGGGGGACCCATTGTTAAGAAATGCTTGCACATACGTTACTTATTTTTTTTTTTAATGCTATAATATTCATTTCAAATCAGATTAATTTAACTTTAAATATTCTAAAGTGACTCAAATACCATGTCACAAATCTATAATTTAATTTTGAAATTTTAAAGATTAATTTGTTTACAAGTTTATAAAAATTAAGAAAATGTCCACTTAAAAGGGAGGGGGGGGCAGTTATTTGACATTCCAATCAATATCATTTCTATCTGAAATATACCAGAATATACTTCCTGGAAATAAATTTAATCATTTCAATTAAAATTAGAACGAAATCTTCAAGAAAGTTTTCATTTTTAAAATTCAGTGGAGGTGCCTAGTTTCCCCCCAAAGGAAAACTACCCAAAATAATGTAGTGGCTAAGTACATATAAATGCAAACAGCCTTTTCCTAGAAAAGATAAAGTTTACGAAAGCAAATAAAGATTCTAGAAGAAAAGGAATTGCAGATTTTATTTGTAGGAAATGAAAGGAAATATGGTATTCTAAAGTATACAATTTCATTAGAAAAAAAAACAAAAAAAAAACTCACCGACACGTCCATAGCAACCATCTGGAAGAGCAATTTGTAGATCTGTTTTTACCAAAAGCTTGTCTTGTGGAGGAACAATATAATCATAAGCACTGAAGAAGAAAATTATTCTATAATTGAAATTTCAAAAGAGTGAGTATAAAAAAAAAAAAAAAAAAAAAAAAAAAAAAAACACACAACTGGGTTTTTTTTTTTTTGTTAACATTTTAATATCCGCAAATAAATATTTTTATCTTCTCTGTATTAACCCAGCTTTTAAATTAAACGTTATAGACAGTTAAATTATACTCCATTTGTTCTCATTTTACCTGAATGGATATATACGTGAGCAGTTTATCCATTTACAACCAAGCTCACAGTACCTGTTATTCCCCTCAAACAGTCACCCTTCTAGAAGTACTGGCCAGGCTCAACATAATCAACTATGTCAGTCCCATTAGGAAGGACACACGCACAGATGGACAATGAGAGTAATCAAAGTAGTAAAGCATCGCCAGCAGGTAGTACAGAACTGTGTAGCCAGGACCATATGGAATAAAGAGTTACCACCTGCTACCCATGTCAATACAATAATCACATTATTATACCCACCTGCTTAGTTAATATCTAAGTTTGGATCTCCAACACAAAAACAATACCTATGGTTTAAAATGAGGTTTTTTTTTTTTTTTTATACACTTTTAGACATCTTTCATCACAAAATAAGTCTTAAAACAAAACCTTCCAAAAATAAAACACTTTGAAGAATGTTAGTACTATAGCATGTTTTTTTTAAGTTTGTAATACTTGTGGTAATAGCCATTTTAGTGTAGCAGCTGGGGGGGGGGGGTGATTAATTTAGGAATTCCTGCAAAAATCAAGTAATTGCCGGAGACTTTCATGGCTTAGTCAAAAATGAATAAATTTATTTTTTAGAAAATCTTAAAAAAAAATTGTTACCTCCCATAAATAAATTTTATGAATTTTTCTAGAATTTCAAACAGTTCATTGTTTTATATTACTTATAAGCCGGACTTCTTGGAGAAATTAAATCAAATTTCTTTTCCACAACTACTGCCAACTTCTTAAAAATCTGCTCCAAATCGTAAAATAAAGACTGCAATAAACTATCAAATTAGATAGGCTTTTATAAATAGTATACAAAAAAGTTTTTTTTCTCTCAATGAATAAAGAATTTTTACAAGAATTGTTTCCATTTTTCTTTTATTTTTTTCATTAGTTTTAAAATTCTTTCAGAGTGTGGGGTAGGTTAAGTTTTTAAGTGAAGACTATATTTACTAAGCGAAAATTAAAAGCTTAATACAAATGATGCTACCAAAACTTTAATTTTTTTTTACATTTTATTTTGTGCGTCAAAAGGCTATTTTAGTATATCTCATAAGTGACATGATTAAAAGAAAAGGTCATGTGTTTCAAGGATCGTCTCCTTGGAGAAAGCTCCCTCACATGTGAAGGTCTTATTTCACTTAGTTATCAAATTAAACGGAGATAATAAAATTCTCATTTATCAATTCAAACAGTAAATAACTCAGCGAGATTTTAATGATTAATATAATAGTTTTATTAATTATTATCTCAGTTAGGTACCATCATGAGATTGCTTAAAAAAAAAAAAAAAAAAAAAAATAAAAATTTAAAGTTTTCATTAAAAAATAACGAGGTAAATAATTTGTTCACTTAAATCTAGATAATTTCACCTCTCTCCTTCCGTAGAAGGAATTATCCTCACGTAAGGAAGCTATCAATACGTCATTAAAATGCCTTTCTTTACTTGTGAAGTGACGCGAAATGTTATGAATTGCTTTGTTTTATTTTCAAACAACATCTTTTCGGCGCAGAAAAATTTTAAGGGATATTTAGTGCGGGTGTTAAAAACCAAATTTTACCACATTTATTCACAAATTATCTTTAGAAATATACATCTTTATTGCACTGCTTGCAAGGGTTACATATTTTTAACATTTTCATGCGCTTTTTTCACTGGTAATTGAGGAGTTGACCTAGGAGAGTACCATGCGTAAATAAGTTATTTTATAAAAAAAAAGCATTACATTTACGGAAGCCAGTTAATACTTTAAGTTTATTGATGGACTTAAAGACATCTTTAACAATTTTTTATTTTTAGGATAATTTTGTTTTGTAGCGGCGGTTTGAGGAGTGAATTTTTTTTTTTTTTTTTTTTTTTAAGTTTAAAGTTACGGAAAAGAATTTATATTTTTAACGGTCATCATCTTTTCAATTATTTATGAAGCCCATGGCAGCAATAAAAATTTTTTTACAAAAACTTAAAATACTTTACTCCTACTTAGGAAGTACCCAAACACGCACGTGGGAGTAGTAAAAATGCCAATCTCAGTTTATTCCACGTACATAAAACTGTATTGTTAGGGAAAAATTAAGACATAAGTAAAGATGATTTATCATAAGTGATATTTACTTTCATCCAGAAAAAAAAAAAAAAAGCAATAATTCAGGATGCCAAATTAGTTTTCTTTTCTTTATAAATTATAACATTACATTATTAACCAGAACAAAAAAAAACAAATTAAAATCCATATGATAATCGGATGATATAAATTAAAAAGTTAATGAATAAAATGTTTTAAGATTGTAGATTTAAATTTTAGGATAGTGTATCAAATAATAATTTTTCTTTTTTTTGCAACCGAAAGAAATATTCATTTAACAAATTTCATGTTGTACACTCCTTGAAAAGAAAAACAAAATGAATGATTAGTAAAAAAAAAAAAAAGTAACAAAATAAAAACCTGTAAAGGTCATATCCTGCTGCTTTTTCGGATCCCTTTGTAGGTGTAAAAGCATTTTCTGATAGTTTCTTGAATTTAAGAGTCACTTTCCCCATGTTGCAGAACTTCTTCTTTACAGGAGAAAACCCGTTTTGGTTATCTATGACAGTCGACATGATGGAAAGGTTCTTGAAGGGAGAGAAATGCCGCCAAAATGTCATGTGAGCGTAAAACTAAGCGTGGTTGGCTGAAAGAAATACAAAACATACTCATCATTAACAAATCAGACTCTATTCGCTAGTGTAACGAGTTCGATCCTTACTTTGGGCAGTCAATGAAACAAACTTGTGCGGTTATCGCTTTTTCCTTCTTTCGAAAAAGTTAGTCTCAAGACCATAGCTCCCCGTCCAGTCATCATTTTATTTTATTTTATTTGTTAAATAATTCATTTTTTTGTGGGCCAAAAAAAAAAAAAAAAAGAAAGCAAATTAGATTTAGTTCTTCGTCCAAACCAAATTTCATAAGGTTCGTTGCATTGTAAAACAATATAAAGGGGTCATAAAAATGTGCAGCACCCAATGAGGATCGAACTCACTGTGTATTTGATTCGCGAGATTGGAGATTGTTAAAGTTAAAAATCGAAACCCGATTTAACAAAATAATCTCTCGTATCAACAAAAGTAAAAAAAAGAAAGAAAAGTGACGAAAACTGTTGTATAAAAAAATCTGAATAAAATTTTTTTTTTTTTTTTTAAATAAAAAAAAAAAGGTACACTTTTTTGGTTGTAAGAAAAGTTAACTTCGGCTTGTGGAGAATGAAAAAAAAATATTTACATCAAAACTCAAATAATTTCAATAAGAAGTAAAACTTTAATACCGAATAAATTAAAAATGATATTTTAATTAATTAATTTTAATAACGAAATAAATATTTCAATAAACTAAACTTACCCAGAAGCCAAAGTAAAAATAATTAAAGAAAGTTGTATTGTATGTTAGTTAAATAAATAAATTTTATTCTATAAATTTCTATTTGATCCTCTCATACGAATTTCGAAAAATTCGGTAATTTTGACAAAGTAGGAAAATTCGGTAACTATGAATTTTATTTTCTCATTTTATTTTCATCGTAGTTCACGTGGTAAATCAGTGTAACTGTAACCCGGGTATAAGAGAGTTGCCGGGACCGGAGAAGAAGTCTCTTATATCCGTGTTTCTCTTATATCCGGGTTTGGTCTATTTTGTTTAGGTAAGTATGGGCTCTAATTTGGGACCAGAGAAGGTTTCTCTCATATCCGGGTTTACACTGTATATTTTTAAGCAAAAATGAATAACTTCTTTGTCAAATTTTTCGGTAATGCTAAATAAAATTCATACTGTTCGTTTAAATTAAATACTTCATCAGGGAGTTTAAATTCACACAAAAAAATTCTAAACTCAAACGTAAAAAATAAACATAAAGTAACCAATATCATATACCTAAAAATTAAATTTAATAAATGTACTAGCAGTAAAGCCCGGGGATGTAACAGTAAGATATAGATCAAGTATCGACCATCAGTCTTTAGACTGAAAAATAAAATTGACAAAGATTATTGTTTAAGGTTGACGGACACGCATGTCTTAATTAGTTTTTTTTTTGTTTGTTTTTTTTACGAATTGGTCAAACCCAAACTCAAACAAAAACATTGTTTTCAATTGTTATAGAATTTTATTATAAACAATTGTTTTGTAAATGGAATTTTTAAAGCATTCTGAATGTCAAAATAAAGAAAAAATTGTGCAAGACAATAAGAAACACTACCTGCCAAAAAAAAAGTGAAGTTTTGTTGAAATCGGTTGAAAAATGTAGGAAATCTGATCCCATATATAAACGAACACATACACACACACAAACAACCTGGATTTTATAAGTATAACTCGATATGAGTTGTCCCCCTTTCATTCTCGTGATGCCTCTTAATCGTGTTTTCAAATTGATTTCATGCAAAAAGAGTTGTGTTTTTCCAATTTTTGGCGCCGTCAGAACCACCGCAAGATAATTTTACGTGAAGTTTTGTTGAAATTGGTTGAAAAATGTAGGAAATCCGATCCAATATATAAACGTACACGCACACACACACACACACACACAACCTGGGTTTTATAATAAGTATGATATATATATATATATATATATGTATATAAATAAAAAGAAAGAACAGTAAGATATAAAATCCGGTGTTCTTATAGATATTTTTATTTTTACAAAATAGTGCTCAATGTAAATTTACAGAGCATTAATATTATGAATTAATTGATTTAAAATATGGTTATTTTCGCTACACAGTTCCAACCATGTTTCAAAAATAGAAGCTAAAAACCCCTAATTTAAATTTGCAATTAAATTAAAAGCATTAGTTCCATTTCATCTTCAAGAAAAATTCGCTTGAAGATGAAATGGAACTAATGCTTTTAATTTAATTGCAAAATTAAATTAGGGTTTTAGTTTCTATTTTGAAACATGGTTGGAACTGTGTAGCGAAAATAACCATATTTTAAATCAATTAATTTATATATATATATATATATATATATATATATATAATCGATGAAACCCAAGCAAATTATCCCATATAGATGCCCGTTTTGTTCTCGGGGTAAAAAAATTCCCTGTACTTGTCAATGCAAATGCATTTGTTAAAAACTGTTTCTTTTTTTAATTTAAACAATTTTTTTTTTTTTAAAACAAATGTATTTGTATTGACAAGGCTGGTATGGTTTTCGGGCACTTTCCAATGGTGTCGCACGCTGGGATCACCCCCTTCCCTCCAGACAGATAACATCAGGAAGTCTCCTACCTGACAAGTCAACCGTGGTGAGATTTGAACCCGGGTCTCATCCATCTATACATCCATACATACATACAATCATTGTATTGTTTTAAATAAGCTATATTTATGGAAGAAGACGAAAATAAATAAACTGTTTAAAAATGAACATTGCTTACTAAAAATGGGTGTGTCTTTATCTCTGAGATGAGGTATTACGATTACTTACATTATTTACATTATTCGGACGGTTATCCTCATCTCCATTACCATATTCATAAAGTTTCGGCCGTTGTACGCCCCAACCTTCGTTAGGTGATTGAAATTTTGAACCGAACCCTTTATTTCGTCCACCGGGGTAGATTGTTCTAGTTCCATGTGCCAAGCCTCTTCTGGATGTCTCGGTTATTTGCCTTTAACTCAACTCTCTAAGTTTTTGGTTCACCATTGCTATAGCGTGGTATTGAACTCACAACACTTTGGGTCTAGTCACTGGATCTAATCAATGCCTTTATCCAGAAAATATTTTTAGATTGTTTGGTTTGGTTTGTTTTGTTTTACAGCATATCAACCTCAATGGTTTATTTAATGCCAACAAGATTTTTATTGCTGGTAATATTTTTTAATTTTTTCTTCAAAAATATATTGTTGGTAATATTTTTTTTAAAAATATATTGTTGGTAATGTTTTTTTCAAAAATGTATTACTGGTAATATTTTTTCAAAAATATATTGCTGGTAATATTTTTTCTTCAAAAATTTGTTGCTGGTAATATTTTTTTTCCGCAAAAATGTATTGCTGGTAATAATGTATTGCTAGTAATAATTTTTCCTTCAAAAAAATTATTGCTGATATTAAAACTATTTTTTACACTTTCATAGTAATTTGACCCCAGTTTACCCATAGCCGGGACCCTATCAAGTGCTACCACTCTGGGTCAGGGTGGACCTGGGAACACTAGCAATTAAGAGGTGGTTTCACGCTCCTCAAAATCTGATCAGAGACCTTGCTGTTTATCGTCTTACCCAGGACGGTTTTTAGATTGTAAGAGTTTTTCTGAGATAATAGCGGTTTAGTCATACAAGTCTTACTAATTAACCCATACGTGGATGGAGAAAAGGTGGATTCATACCTTTCCCAAGTATATTTGCGCTTAAGTGAATATAGCGAAGACAACTGGAAGTGGAACTCGGCTCTCCTATTAAAAATTCTCAGCCATTATTCATTACACCACCCGCGCATACAATCTTACAGTATCTGGTATTCCAAAGCGGTCACCCACCTATCTACTGATCAAGCTCAAAGTTGCTTAACTTCAGTGATTGTACAGGAACCGGCATTTCAACGTGAAAGCGTAAGCCACATTTTAAATATAATCTCACAATTGGGGCAAAGATTTTCTTTACCAAGAAAATCGAATTTTGATATTTTTTAATGTCGCATGCCAGTGTTCAAACATGTTTTCTATATATATTGAACTATTTCTATTTTTTTTTTCACTGTAGTCTCTTAGCTAGACCTCAAGTTTCTAAATTCGGTACCAAATTAACCTGCCATTTCCACTAGTGAAAAATTTTACGGCATGTTCTTGGTAAAAGATTGCTATTAATTTTTATTTTGCTTATCGATGATATACACTGAAAAGACAAAAATACAATATGCGCTTACTTCTTTTTCTATGTTCCGACTCCCTTCAAGATGTATGCGATCATGTCTTGTCACAATTTTCTGTCTTTTGTAGCTCTTGATAACTTTTATAACACTGTTCCGCCATTTATTTGCTCAAGCTCGCCAGATACGTTGTGCATTGCTTTCCTCTCCCTCTTGCCATCAATCTGTCCTGTGAGTATCAAATTTTCCAAGCCCTCTTTCCTCTTATGTGCCCAGAAATTGTAACCGGTTCTTCCTGATGTTAAGCATGAGTGTCTTTTTGCAACTGTCTCGAGAACTTTGTCGTTGCTCACATGTTTGGTTCATGGTATTCTCAGAATCCTTCTGTAGAACCACATTTCTATTGCTTCAAGTTTCTTCGTCTGTGAGGAGATTTTCCAGCATTCATTGTCATATAGGAGAACCGATATTATGTAACAGTTCAGTTCTCTTTTCTTTGTTTCTAACGATATTTTCCTGCTTGTTACTTTGCTCAGCTTCTGGAAGGCATCTTTGATGTAAGCACTGCAACACTATTCTCGGGGAACCCTAGTTGAGAAACGCTGCTCTAGTGTCTTGAAGCAGTCATCTAAAGATTAAACATAAAAAAGGTTTAATGATGGTTTGTACGCTTTATTGCAAAAAAAGATTTATAGTTTACAAAAAAAAAAAAATTTTTTTTGCACGATTTAATTGCAAAAAAGTTTAAATGTTATTTCTCTAAGTCAAGTGAGTTAAATTTTAAATTCTCCCTTTTCAATAAAGGGAATAATGTTAATAATATTTT